GTAAATTTCAGTAACTCAGCTAGCATTATTGAGCTACAGTAGATTCTGCATAAAGTTCACTGGCCAAATCGATGTACATATGATCCAACCAATCATATGAGCATATGATTATGTTTTTTACAAATTACTGAAAACTTACGCAAAATTTCACAAAATTACGTAAATTACGGTAATTTGACAACCCTAATCGTATATCACCCAATTGTTCAATCACTTAATCGTATTTCTCATATCGCTTAATCATTCAATGGGTCTGGTCCGATTATTGTCATATAAGCCTAAAAAAAATAGTCTGTAGCGTCAAAATAAATTTATGTAATGCAATTAACAAAATAATAAAATAACAAAAGAAACAAAGTTGATACTAGTATACGGATAAATTTGAATTGTAACATTCGGCTATGCCACAAGTAAGTGTCAAGATTCGGGGATAGAAAGTGTTGATTGTAGCTTCACCTATTCAATTACCCAAATGTTCAATCGCTCAATCACTCAATTATCCAATCGTTCAATCACTTAATCGTTATTTCTCATATCGCTTAATCATTCAATGGTCTGGTCTGATTATTGTCAAATAAGCCTAATAAAAAAAATAAATAAATAGTCTGTAGCGTCAAAATAAATTTATGTAATGTAATTAACAAAATAACAAAAGATAAGAGCAAAGTTGATGCTAGTATACGGATAAACTTGAATTGTAGCATTCAGCTATGCCACAAGTAAGTGTCACGATTTGGGGATAGAAAGTGTTGATTGTAACTTCATCTATTCATTTTTAAATTATTAATTGATCCAGGGTTAACAATTTTCGGCCGAATGTAAAACTTTGACGTGTTAAATTATTACACGATCCCGAAATTGTTTATCAAATTGCTTTTTGGTTATGACTCTGACCTTGATTCACCTGTATTTATGGGTTTCAAAAGTTCTGTTTAGTAATATGTCTGTTTTGGTAAATTAAATTAGTTTTAATTGGCGACATTAGTGCCTATTTCGCAAATCAAAGTTTAAATTATACTGGATTACAAAAGCCAATTTATACCCAACTTCGCAAGTGAGATTCTTTATTTTTGGTGTTACAAACGGTACTCAAAAACGTTTAGTAGGTAGTTGTTATATGTCTTTGCGAGATTCTAACTTGATCTTTGCATAAAAGTATATTCGTTCTTGTAAAAGACAAACGTAAAGTAAATGATTTCGTCAATTTTATATGAAAAAAAAATTTTATCATATGATGTAGATCATTCTAAATTCTATATTAAAATCACTTCCCGTGATAATCCCGTGACAAATCGTGTGACTGATAACGATAATAGGTTAAGTTCCAAAATGGTTAAATCTCTAACTATTTAACATCTTTAGATGTACATATAACAGTATAACCACAGGGTTGCACGATGCAGAGGCAAAAAAAACCTGCATTCGCACATCTCTAATACCGACACGTATTTATCATAGTTCTTCAGAGACTAAATTCGCCACCGTGAAAGCTTAAATATTCAATTCAAGATTTCACCATATATATAGACTACTTACATTAAAATCGTGAATTTACGTAACTATGCATAAACTAAGAGAACTGGTACGTACGTACGCACTGTTAAATGCAGAAATGTTCGGAACCAAAACTTTATTATAATTCCTATAACACTAATTGGTAAATAAAATTCTAGCGTAACCAATAATCGGCATTCGCATAATCTTCCGCTTAATAATAAATAGTGCTAATGATTATCGTTACAAAATACGTTTATTGATAAAGATGGTGATTCGTAATATATATATATTTAAAGTTTTATCATCAATATAAAACCAATTAATGTCTTCTTTTCCTAATTATGTACGAGTCGCCTATCAAGTGATATCAGTTATATTAACATCTCGACTTTATTAAAAATTTGATATGGCTAATAATAATCATAACGAAAAATAAATAATAAAGTAAAATAAAAATAATTAATAATAATAAATAAATAAATACAAAAAAGTACCCATCGCCTATTTATATATTAAAAATAAATTATATCATAAGAGTAATTAAGGATAAGGTATAGATACAGTATACTGTATATCAAAATATATATATACTAGCATATAAATATTAATTGGCAGTAGAAGAGCGTTTTGAACTAAACGACGAAAGAATTGATCTTCTCCTTGATGTCCTCTTCTCAACAGTGGTATTATCAATAACTGTACCGTTTAGACTTGTACCGAAAATTATTGAACTTTGCCTCTAAATTATTATAACAATATTGTATTAATATTATAAAAAAGTTGTTATAATATCTAGATAGAAAATTCAATTTTACCTTCTTAACAAATTCTTTTTCGGCAAGGATACATTTTGCAACATAGAATCCTATACTCATTGTTGTTATCTTTGGAAATTAAGATAAGAATTAGCTTTATGAAATTATCATAATGTTTATTTATTTAAATAAATAAAAATAATATCTTGTAAAATTACCATTGGACTAGCACCAGCTGAAGTAGGGAATACACTAGAGTCTGCGACATAAAGATTTTTTACCTCCCATGTTTCTCCCAAAGGATTTACCACTGATTTAGCCGGATCATCTCCCATTCGACTAAGAAAAACAAATTTTAAGTACGCACGTACGTACCTACGTTAAAACTTCACACAGCAAAATAATAATAATAACAACTATAAGCCCATACCAAGTTCCCATTTGATGTATACTACTAAGGCAAGCTTGTCCAGAAGAAACTCCGACTTTCTTAACTTTCTCAAGATATTGTAAAAATTTTGCATCATTCAATGGATTTTCTCCCGTGATCTCAAATTCTTCTACCTCAGCTTGACAAGTTCCAATTTTAGTCGCTCCAGCAGCAACAAGAATCTTGAGACTAGTCTGTAATCCGGCAATGGCGCTATCAGCATCATGCTGACTTAATTTATAATCTAATTTTGGAAGACCACTGGAATCAGTTCTGATTTGACCCGGATCTCTGTCACGAGTTATGGTAAGAAGCGGAACAATATGATTATATTGGAGCATAAATTGTTTATGTTGTAATGAGGATTTCCAAGGGAAACTTGTAGACATCGTGGCGGGGTGATAAGATCCAACGAATATTCTTGCACCATAGTGTTCCCCATCAACGTTTTCTTTGGCGTCACATACCTTTAAATTTTTATATTAATCAAAAATTTTTTTTTTTTTGAATAAATCAGCGAGCATAGTAGAACTGATTATGCATACCGCACTTTGGATAGTTCCAGAGTAAGTTTTAACATCTTTATTAGGGAATATACCATAGACGGCAGCAATAGGATTTGTGAATAAATTCTTGCCAATATTCTTGTTCTTAAGTCCACTTCGCAAAAGTAAAGCAGGGCTATGGAGACCACCGCAAGCAACGATGACTTTCTTGGCATTAATTCTGAATTTTATCTCACCCTTGTTGACGGTGGCTTCAACGCCAACAACCTTACTATTTTCGATGAGGACTCTTTCGACAAAACAATCTTGTATAAATTTAACACCATATTCTTTAGCATCTTTTAAATATGTCATTACAGCACTTTGTTTTTCACCATATCGACAACCGAAGCCACACCAACCACATTCATGTGGTTTAGACGCGGAGCTTTGCGAAACAGTGGCAACCGGAGCACCAAGTTTTTTGCAACCGCTAATAAGAATTTTATTGCTTTCGTTTTGAATAATATTGGTAGTACCGACACCTAATCGATTTTGAATAGTTTTTAGAGAATCATTATAATCATCCTCCATAAAATTAGTTAACCCAAAGTTATTGGCCCATTCTTCACGAACAAAATGACTTGGCTGCGGTGATCACATGATATTAACGAAGGTAATAGAATAGATAATTAGACGTTTGAATTTTTTAGATTTTAATTTTTTTATATTTTAATATTTAAAATTTATTGTTATAAACATATCTATTATACACACCTCAGCTGAAGTGGACCAACCGATAGTGGTACCTCCACCAAAGTTAGAACCGGAGAAAACAGCCATGCTAATAATAAAATGGTAATAAAATTTTTGTAAATAAAAAAGTTTAAATACATAATAAAAAAATATCGTATAAAATTTATTATAAAATATATACTGTATATAGTATTAAAAAAAATAATTTACCTACTATCTTCCGAAAGCATTCCACCTCCAAGTTCATATAATTTTTCATAACCATCTTTCTCTTTCAAAGTCAACTCACTTTGATGATAATAATGGCCTTTTTCGATAACAAGCACAGAATTACCTATTGCAATAATTTGTTAAAAATTTATTAATAAGTAATTATTTTTAAGATTTTTATACTGTATTAACAATTTTATAAGTTTACCAGACTTTCTTGCCAACCGTGCAGCAGCTACACTTCCACCTGCTCCAGAACCGACGATGACAACATCGAATTCCAAATTTTTTGTATCTTCCGTAATTTCAATAAATTCATATTCTGGGAATGTACGTCCTTTGAATCTTGATCCATTGATTTCAGGATCAGGTCCTGGATATCCAATTGCCGGGTAAAAGTCATAAGGATTTAACCAAAAGGCAGAACAAGTCAGATTAAAAATAGTTTTATAAAATTGTCTAATTGAAGCCTTTTGACTGGTATTCCATTTAGCAACAGCAGCCGCACGTTGATTTAAATCAAGTTCATGAAAAAGTTTAGTTGAATTTGTCATTGAATAATTAGTCATTCCTTTACTAGACATTTTTTTTAACATTGAACTAATTCGAATAAGCTGATGTTGTGGAGCGGTTATTAAAAGACGATCGAATAATCTTTTCGAAAAATCTTCTTTACTTTCAAAGTTTAATTGACCTAATTCTTTAATCTTATCAGCATTTTTTGGGATATTTGTTTTTGTTTTAGTATTCGTATTCTTATAAATATCGAATTCTGTTTCACTTAATTCAGTTATGAAAACATTACAAATTGCATAGAAAATTTTTTTTTGCTTTTCACTTAGATGAAAGCCTTCATTAAAATTATCAACGTCACTTGATTGACTTCCACCATGAATTGAATTTTTTTCATCAGTCATTTTCGGAAATATATAAAAAGAAAATATTCTCAAGAAAATTCCGTGACAAAAAAAATAAAAAAAAATTTGTTTTTTTTTTTAAAAAAAAAAGAAACGGTAAATTTATTTTCTATTATATAACGATAAGAAGAAAATCAATTTTTCAAAAAATTAACGTTTGTATACCATAAGCGGATAAGATAGTATTCAAATTCGGGTTGAACAATAAAATCATTATCGCATATATAATACATGCAATAATAATATTATTTTTTATTAATTTTCATATAATATTAACATTATTTTCCTATCAGAAGTTTTGTCCGAACACAGTGTACAAAAGCTCTAAATTTTCTATCAATATCCATTATTAGATCTTTTACTGCCAGCTTAATCTTGCAAGATTAAAAATAAGTACGACATCGGAGCAAAGCATTCTTAATTAGTTATAGTTTTTACTTTAATAATAAGTAAATAACACTATTATTTGGTAATTTAACTACGAAAATCTTTTGATCGACATACTTATCTTTTTTTTAGATTTTTTTTTATCAGTATTTTCTTGTCATGGATCATTCACCATATGGAAGATCTAATATATCATTCCCGATTTTTGTAATATTTAATAACTTTTTCGAGGAAGATCGGACTTTGCACTAAAAGTTTAAATGAATTTAAGGTGATACGTAAGTAAACGCCGAGATTTTAAATGATATTGGTGTTATTAACGTGTTTAACACGGGAACAAATATTTTGATTACTTTGTAAACGTGAAAATTTGTACAAGTTTGATAGAATGTAAACAATTTATAAATCTTGGAACTATTGGTCTATAGAGTTCCTTGTAAACTAAAATTTTAACAATCTCAATTATATACAGTGTTAGTAAAATATGGATAGGAGGCATTTATGAACTAACGTCCATATTGTCCATATTTTTTTATTGGACTTAGTCCAAATTAATCGCTAAACCGAAATATTCCGAAATGGATTAGTCCTGATTATATATTTTTTTAAAGCTCAAATTAGTGACCCAGGAAATTATTTCTGGATAAAAAAAAAATTGCCGAATTTTAAATACCGTATTAAGCTTTTCAATAATCATATGATATTTTATTTTTTGAAATATATAGTTGACCTAGAGACGGTAACCTTTTTACATTTTTTCAAAATTTCTATAACTCGGAAAACTCATTTATTATCTATCTTCCGTGATTTTCCTGCGTAGCAATTAAAAAAATAAATGAGAATTTTGATCGAATTCATCCGAAAATTGTACTAAATAAGTACAATTTTATATGTCCAATCGCTTACCCAACACTGCTTCACCGACAATCAATTTCACCGACAACTCATTTAGCCGACATCACATAGGGTTAAGGTTAGCATTTGGTTAGTTGCAGGTAAATATTTTTAGTATATTGTCACTTAGCGTGATGCCGGCTAAATGAATTATTGTAGGCGGGACCGATTATATTAAAAATTTGACATAGAGATGGGCAGTGTTAGTTACGTATGATTTCCTCTAATGTTTTACGTTTTATGATACACCGTTATGCATAATTCCTTTAAAGTTTACTTTCCCCAGATTTTACTGAAAAATCGTACGTAATAGGTAATAATCATTCGTCATAATAATATGGTATTAATAAGTATTGGATAAAAAAAATATGTAATTATTACTTGCTCATCTCTAATTGGAAATATAAAATTTTATATGCCCAAATTTATTCAAAATTACCGAACAAATAAGTTTACAAACCAAAATAAATAAAATTTATGAATCACTGATTTCGAAATAAATACTAATTAATTCGAATATTTAAAATAATCTAGTTTTTAATTTAATAGCATTTTTATATGCAAAGAAAATGGGTTATTGTTCCAATATGCACCAGTGCACCAACATTATTGTCCGGAGCGAAGCGGAGGACTATATGTTCAGGTCATTAGCCAATTTTCGTCCGTCCACCCACGTGATCATATATGACCTGCAGATCCGCACACACTAGAGGGCAGAATTTTGTCTGTCTGTCCGCCCACCCACGTGATCAATCACATAAGTGATAATTTTTTTTTAATTCGCTCCGGATTTACAACAGCACCTGTTTTCTAGTTTATAATAATTAGAACGATTCATAATGCACATAGCTATGATTATATTGAGTCTCAAAAAATGAAGTTTGTGCATTTTTATTATGTAGGTTGAGGAACTGTTGATGTTACACGACTGAACCTTCACCCGGTGTGCAACATATAAAAAAATTAATTTACAATACCAGATCATTCCGCTAGTACATGTTATGATTATAATCCCACACCATTTTATTATAATAAAAATGGTGTGGGATTATAATCATAACATGTACTAGCGGAATAATCTGGTATTGTAAATTAATTTTTTTATATGCTGCACACCGGGTGAAGGTTCAGTCGTGTATCGACGGTTCCTAATCCTAACAATAAATTTTGATTAGAAACAAAATTTTAATCTGAAACACAAATTTTTGTTTGCATGTTTTAAATTAGTCCTAAGGTTTAATTTGTTCTTGCAAGTAGTTAAATAGATTGAAATGGATGAGCAATGGTTGAAAACAATATCAGGTAATGATCTGAGGAATTTATTATTGTAAAAATCAGGGAATACTGGGTGGAATATTTGCATTTGACAATTATTATACAGTAGTGATGGAGTGATGGAAAGGGAATTGAAAAAGATAAACATAAAATACATCAGAACAATTTTTGGTAAGAAACAGATCTGGATAATGTTATCGATTTTTGTTTACGTGATAAAATCAATCATGTGGTCCAAATGGTTACGACTCGTAGTTATTTCCCTTACAGGCCATTTACCCGATGACAATTTAATAATAATGTATATCTGTGACAAATCAAAACGTTAACCCTAACCTATGTGATCTATGTTATGTCAGATAAATGACCTGTAGAGGAAATGACTATCAGAAAAATGAGCAATTACCTCCAAATCGTTCCTACAAGTTGTTATAATTGAATGGATGGATACAAGATACAGTATATTAGAACATTTCAGATAAGAAAACAAACCCGGTTAATATTATCAATCTTTGCTTACATAATCAAATCGTTCTTACGAGTTGTTATCATTGGTAAATAATTTGAAAAGGATGAAAATAAGTTACGTTAGAATTATTTCAGAAGAAACTGATCCAAATAATATTATCAATAATTGCTTACCGTGAGCAAATCAGTTCAATGGTCCAAATCGTTCTTACAAGTTGTTATTGTCGGTAAATGGGATAACCATAAGGAAACTATTGTTATCAAAAATCGACCGTGATTAAGGATGCTGGTGGAATATTTGCACTTGGTAATTGCTATTTTAATGGAATATATAATTGTGAAAAGGATGAACATAGGATAGGCTTCATGAAACTGTTGATGAAATATGTAATCTGAATAATGAACAAAGTTTGAGAGGTAAAAAGCCCATACAATTCTAGACACATTGGAACAATTTCTGATAAATAAGAATAAAACAAAATAATATCAGTTGAGTATCAAATTAATACCACATCAGTCAAAACAGTAATTATCTCACTAATATTCACTCTTTATGCAATATAGGCAATCACCCTATTCCTAGCGAATCAATTTTTCTGACGCACGATATTATCAATTTTTGGTTTATGATCAAAATCAGTTCTATGCTCAAATCGTTCGTGCGAGTTGTTATTGTTCTGCGTCATTTCACAATTTAGGTCGATTCCAAATTGACCCAAGTCATTTTTAAATTTTGAAATGATGTACTTTATTTTTCAATCGGTGTAAACATAAATTTATAGGGTCAGCTTTTAATAAATAAGTGTCAAAGAGTTAGGCACTCTGGAATTTCTTTATTATCCTATTATTGCTTTTTATGCGATTCAAACAATTACATATTCTGTATTACACTTTAACAATTTTCTTTATTATTATTATTAATTTATTAAACTTTTAACTTCCCAATTAATCGTCATATTCATGCATTCGGCGATCACGGTACCTATTGTACCCGATCCCGATTATGCCCGCCACTATGATGTTCCGACACGACCCCGATCGATCACATGATCACATGAGTCGTTCGATTCATATCTTCGCTTCGCACTTTCACTTCTCGTCGCATTATATAATTCTTGGTTTAAATTGCATCCCATTAACTAAGTACAAGGACTCTTCAAATACTACGCGACAATAAGCCATAAAAAATTTAGGTTGATCTATAGTATAGGTAGGCAATATAAAATTATACAAGATTATAATATATAAAAATAACTATTTGAACTAATTTAAGCAATTTATAAATAGTTAGGGTTAGGGTAAGAGTTATTTAGTTTAAATTAAAGTTAGAATAGATTTAGAATTAGAGTTTTATATATTATAATCTTATAATATTTCTATATTGCCCATCTATACTATAGAAGATCCAAAATTTACATAAATTTTTGTATATAAAATTAAATTTTAAAAAAAAGTAATATTTTGCGTAAATTACTGCTTTATTAAAAACGAAATGCTTCATAAATTCATAAAAAAAAAAAAATTCGCATAACTAAAAATTACATCAACCTAAAAAAGAATCTCGTCGATTTTTACATCCACCACGTAGAACACATCCACATCGTCGTGTACATAACAAGTTACTTTTTCAGCAGAAATCTTTGTGGAATAAAACAATATCGCATATGAATCTTTTTATAAAATAAAAAATAAATAAATAAGAAAAACCTTTTGCCAGGTTTTGTCTTGACTAGCATGTTCCGTTGCTTGATATCAGCACAAATTATCTCATAAAATTTTTCAATAAGCAGACATGCATCCCCAGGTTATTGTCAGTTGGCTTAATTATATATTAGAGATTAAAATAGTTTAACACAGCTTTCAAAAATCCTATCGTGAAATATTACATAACAAGTTTTTTCTTAGCAAAGAAGTTTTCCTGCAAGTCGATTTACTTGCCTGTTGATTTAAATGATGCTTAAAAAGCGATAACGAAA